ATTTCGTCCCCGAAATTCACACACACATACACACTTAACCGCATGCATATGCAACAATAATATTATACTAAAAATTATAAAACTTGTACTTTTATCCTCGAATAGGAACGGATAGTTGGTATGTATGGTATCCTCAAGCTCCCATGTCACCTCCTCTACTCTTCGGTGATGTCATAGCACCTTCACTAGCCGCACGGTCTTGCCTTACAAAATTTGCTCCCGACTATCCATGATATGCACTGGTCCCTCATCGAAGGTCCCATCTGCATCAACAATCAATTCACCCTAATCCATTACATGTGTCGGATCTGGAGTATACTTCTGGAGCATAGAGACATGGAACACTGTGTGAACACCCGATAAATTTGGCGGTAATGCCAATCTGTAAGCTACTGTACCCACCCTCTCGAGTACCTCAGCAACAGCTTTTCCCATTTTTTGAACTTGACAACTCCCCTCTTAGGCATCACCTTCAAGAAGACGTGATCACCCACCTCAAACTCCAAAGGTCGCCGCCATCTGTCAGCTCTGAGCCGTAAGAAGACGTTTTTGTATCAAATCCACCTTCTCCAAGGTGTCTCTAATCAATTCTGGACCCGTAGAGGGTCTTTCTCCTACCTCCGTCCAACATACAGGAGAACGACAAGGCCTCCTGTAAAGTGTCTCGTAGGACGCCATCTTAATGCTCGTCTAATAACTGTTGTTGTAGGCGAATTCCACTAAGGGTAAATGTTCTTCCCAGCTACCCTTGAGATCTAGGATACATGCCTGTAGCATGTCCTCTAATATCTGGATGGTCCTCTTCGACTGACTGTCCGTCTGGGGATAAAAAGTTGTGCTCAGCATCAACTGTGTCCCCATGGCCCATTAGAAGCTCTCCCAAAAATGAGCCATGAACCTAGGATCCTGGTCCGATACAATAGATACGGGTACCCCATACAACGAAACAATCTCCCATATATACAACCTGTAGAATTCCTCCAGTGTGAAGGTCATCCGCATAGCCAAAAAATGTGCCGACTTGATAAGCCGGTCCACTATTACCCACACTGCATCATGCCCTCGCGATGTCAATGGTAAGTGAGTCACAAAATTCATTGTTACATTCTCCCATTTCCACTCAGCCACCTCCAAAGGCTGGAGCAACCCCGCTGGTCTCTGGTGCTCAACCTTGACCTGTTGACACGTGAAACATCGNGAGTCACAAAATTCATTGTTACATTCTCCCATTTCCACTCAGCCACCTCCAAAGGCTGGAGCAACCCCGCTGGTCTCTGGTGCTCAACCTTGACCTGTTGACACGTGAAACATCGTCTGACAAAATCCCTAACATGTCTCTTCATCCCGCTCTAATAGTATTGGCGACGAAGATCATGGTACATCTTCGTGCCACCTGGATGCACCACAAATTGGGAGCAATGGAACTCTCTAAGAATCTCCTCTCTCAGCTCCGCGGGCTAGGGAACCACAATCCTTCCCCTAAACCAAAGACTACCATCTGTATGCACGGTCCAACCCTCGTCACCTATACCCAATCGTACCCGGTCCTTAATGGACAATATCTCCATGTCCTGTCCCTAGGACTTGATCACTCTGCTCAGTAGGGAAGGCGTAGCCACCAAACTCCCTAAAGTGCCATAAACCTAACCCATGTAGCGTAGCCTGAACTGTCCCACAGTCTCGAGCATCTGCCACTCCCGGGAAGTCATACTAGCCAAGACTGTGACACCCCAAAGTCCGAGTGTCTGTAATTATCCGATTGATTATCCATCGACCTGTGCAATACTGGTGGATATCGTGTAATTTGATACCACACCGTTATGCCCCATTTCTTGGGATCCATAACTTAACAAAATTTGGACAGAGTCTCCTTTGTACAAGGAGCTCTACTCAAAACGCAACCTGTACAACATTGACCACACCGGGTCTATCTATCCATTCACAATTGTATAGTCTCGAATACTACCATAATCATTATCAGTACATACATTTATTCGTAAAAGAATAAATGTCCCAAAAGAGTCCCATATACATGCCTTTGTAAATATAAACGAATGTTTGTTACAAAAATTATACAAGGCCAAAAGTAAGTATAAACAAGGGACTACAATGTCAAAATAAAAGCCACAGACCGGCTCTGTCGTCAAAGCGGGCCCATGGCCTTGCCTTCGGTGGACGTCTGTGCGATACCTGAAAAATGTTCCCACAAAGGGTGAGCCAACGCTCAATAGGGTAACTCCTATAGAGAATACCTCTCAACCTANGCCTTCGGTGGAAGCCTGTGCGATACCTGAAAAATGTTCCCATAAAGGGTGAGCTTACGCTCAATAGGGTAACTCCTATAGAAAATACCTCTCAATCTAAATGAATATGGAATGTCACATGCAACGATCATTTGATACATTCATTTAAATATGTCTATTATGATTGAATGTTATAGATCATGTCATGCCATGAGATGAGACTCACGCAAGCAATACCAACCCCGAGCCCCATCCTGAGCTCCCATAACACATGCAATGTCATGCGTATGTATCCGAGCATTCCAAGCCCCCATCATTGGTGTTATGTACACTCAATGCTAATTAATTCATTTTCTTGTGTCTTTGTGGGGAGATGATTTATGGTNTGCATGCATATGTATCCGAGCATTCCAAGCCCCCATCATTGGTGTTATGTACACTCAATGCTAATTAATTCATTTTCTTGTGTCTTTGTGGGGAGATGATTTATGGTATTACACCAATGGGACACCAACCATCAACGGATCTTCAGGACATCCCACCTGCGGCTCCGTTTCCGCCGTTACACTTTTTTGGAATTTCACCGCCGGAAAGTGTATAAACCAAGTAANGGTATTACACCAATGGGACATCAACCATCAACGAATCTTCAGGACATCCCACATGCGGCTCCGTTTCCGCCGTTACACTTTTTTGGAATTTCACCGCCGGAAAGTGTATAAACCAAGTAAGCGGGTCTTGCACCCGAGGGAGAATCTAGCCCTTCGTGCTGTCCCCAACACATTTATCCATTTAATTTCTCGTGCGACTCAACCGAACCTTGGTGCGACTTTTCCGAGTCCACGTTCAACCACCTACGTGGTGATTGATTTCATACCATGCATACACTCTCACCCATGTCAATGCCCATGAATGTAGTGCAACCCATGCATAATGAAATACAATGTAATGACATTTTAACACGATCTCAAGCATGTTATGTAAGATAATCAACTCAACTAACATACTTGTATTCACCTAGGCATTTAATCAAACACCTAAAGAGCACATCAATTTACACAACTAGCATGCTATGACTTGCAACATGATAACATGTTTAACATAAGCACAAAGTCCACCAAAATAATCATATGTTAAATAATCATTTAACATATATATATTATTTCACAATCATATAACAAGTTAATAATTTTATTAAACTTGATCTTCCATTAAAATATAAAGTAATGCTAACATACAATTAACATGCTTTAAACTACTAACATTAACTTATACCAAGTTAATCACAATAGAATTTTATTAATCACAAGATTAATTATAAATTATATATTTGACCCACTAGTCAAGACCTAACATGTGATATACACTCATAATCTACTCATTCCATATGTCATATTTTAAGTTGAAATTAAATCTAAATAGGGGAAACCCTACCTCTCGTAGCGTGAGACCACTTACTAGAACGCCAAGGAAGCCCAAATTTAGCTTCCTAAGTTTTAGGTCTAGATTATTGGCTTTGATATACCTTCGAAGAAAAATATGATATTTGGTGTGGTTGCGTAGCTCTTGCTGAGTAGAGCAACTTTAGTTCTTGGCCCGAAGCGATTAAACGGTTAAATTTTCCTAGATCTGAGAATGAAGAAAAGAGAAAAAAAAAAAAAATTCACTCTCATTGTGTCGCCGGCTGTAGAAAACACAAAAAGTGGAAGACAAAGTCTTCCACTTATATATATATTATTTTTTAAAAAAAAAAATCACGTTTTTGACCCATAATTTAATAATTAATTATTATTTTACCCTTTTTATTAGGATTTTAATAATAATAATAATATTTTTTTTATCGGGTTTTACAGAAAGCTCTTGGAGATCCTGCTTACTCCCTTGACGAGCTTAACCAAGAATGGACTCTTTTATACTGGATATAGATCTTTATAAGTTTGAACTCTTAATTAAGACTGGACTTTCAACTTGAGTTGGGCCATTTGAGTCTGAACCATCAAATACTACAAACATAATCCTTAATTTTGCATCGATTTTATGTTGGGTTGTTGCGTAAAGTACAAAATTGAGATGAGATAATAATAAACGAATCTTACAAAAGAACAAATATTATTTAAATTTAATTTATTTATTTAATCATTGATAATGAGATTAAATTGATAATGAACCCTAGTATTTATGGAGGCTCGTAATTGAGTAAATATTAGATGTGACGGTGACATCACTATATCATCGTCACGCGATATCATTATTTAATAATAAATGATCAAATAGATAAAATAAATCTCACTTGTATACATGGAATAATTATCTACAATATAAAATAATGACATATTTTAATAAAACCATCTAATAATTACTAATATCATTTTTAAAATTATTTACATTATATCATATCTTTAAACACAAATTACCCTTATATATATTACATGGATAACGTTGTCTCGCTGTTACATCCAATAGATACTCAAAATTTTATAATGGATTAAGGCTGCAAATTGAGACGAAATAGCATTATTGCCAATAAATGCCCACACAAAGTAAACGTCAACTGAAATCTTACCAAGTGGGCTGTGACCAACCATGGTTCTATAGCCTAAGCCTAGAAATGTGGGAGTACCATTAAGGAATCTACAACACTGACTATAAAGAGAAGTAGACGGTAAATCCTCTTTATATAGAGGCAAAACCCACTCAATTTTCTCAAGTTTCATTTAGTCTCTTCTCTTCTCTTCAAGATTCTTCCATCAAGCTCCAATGGATAACACTGTAGCCCCAGTCAATGGTGATGATCATCAGAACACCTCTGTCAAAACACAACCTTCCAAGGGTCCCTGGAAATCCGCCATTTTCATTATCTGTAAGCTTCCCTTCTATCTCTCTCTCTCTCTCTCTCTCTAAAAGTAAAGTATTAACTATTTATTCATGCAGTTGTGGAAGTGGCTGAGAGATTCGCCTACTATGGAGTCTCGGGGAATCTCATCACCTACCTGACTAATGTTCTTGGCGAACCAACTGCTACGGCTGCGAAGAATGTGAATACATGGCATGGCGTCTCTGCACTCTTTCCACTGATTGGTGCTTTTGTTGCTGATTCTTACTTGGGTCGATTCAATACCATCCTTATTTCCTCCATCATATATCTCATCGTGGGTTCACTTTCTTCACCTTTTTCCTTTCATTTTGACTCTATTTCAATCTCAATCTTCCTTTCTTCTTTCCAGTGATAGGTGAGAGAGAGATAGAGATAGAGACGTAATAAACTTTCAAACCTCTCGTAAGAACAAAGCCATTCTGTCCACATATTATGAACTCATACACGAATATAATTTCTCCGTTTCTAAATATATACTTGTTTTACATAATTTTTTTTATTTTATAATATTTGTCGTGTTATAAAATTAAAATATAATTAATATTTTTTTTTTAAATTTATCTTTAATTTTTCTGTGCATTAAATTAGGTTAAGACTAAATATCTTTCATATTTTTTTTCTTCTCAATACATATTGAATAAGAGTATTTTAGTCTTGTATAATTATTTTTTATTCATATTACAGCTATTTAATAATTTCTTTAATCCCTGTACAAAAATCTTAAACGACCAAAACGGGGAGAATAACTCATAAACCATCAAACCTCGAGTGTGAGTAAGCCATTTTGTCCGTACATTATAGAGTTATATATATATATACAGAAAAGGCTAGCGTGCCGATACAGCGACGTATTTTTATTGAATGAAAAGTGAATGTATAATATCGAAAGTGATAGATCTAATTTAGGGACCTAGTTTTAATGTAAAGAAAGATTAGTTGTGAGTTCTATCGTTAGATAGAGTCTATAACTAATTCAATGATTATATATTACTAAGTTGTTAAATTAGGTTATCAAATTAGATCTAAATAATATTTTCTTAATCGGACTCTACACGTGTAGATTAGAGAGAGATAGCGATCCAAAATTTATTTTTTGATATTATGCTTTTACTTAATTTAATAAATGTGATACAAGTAAAGTTATCTTATTATATTATTTTTACAATTAATTTATATAAATGATCAAATCAAGATCTATGATTACAAACTATGTACTATGTAACACCAGACTTCTTGGTACCATAGACTTATCCATATGGAAAGACACCCGACGTGATAAATTATCAAACCTCTGCTATAAATAGGTAACCATAAAGAATAGTTCAAGGGATAATAAAGATGAACTGTAAAATTATATATCTTAAATTTTAATCTTAGTAATTTCTTGGGACTAGTTCATAAATATCCTAATCTCGACATGAATGATCTATTTTTTATCAAATTGAAGAAAAAAATTAATTAAAATATGTGTAAGTTAACCCAAAAAGATAGAATAAGTAAGACCTTTAGTACTAATGAGTTACGTTATTCGAATTTTTTGCATCCTAGACATTTAATTTTTTTTTTTTTAAAATGTCAATTGATTTTTGAAAATTGTAAATTCGGTACAAAAATTATGGTAGTCTTACCTGTTTATATAATGTTTTTTTAGACAATATTAAAACATTATTATTATTATAAGGGTGACGATGCGATTCGAATCTAAGATTTTAAAATTTAAAAATTATAATGATAATCATTAGGTCAAACGTTAACTTCTATTTTTTTGTTGTATTACGAAGTTTTTAGAATTAGAATGCTTCTCTAATCATGGATTCCTGCTAAATTCACAGGGTCTAATTCTGCTGACTGTATCAGTATCAGCAACTCCAATAGAACACAGCAGAGCATTTTTCTTTGTAGCACTTTACATATTGACAGTTGGCGAAGGTGGGCACAAGCCATGTGTCCAAACTTTTGCCGCAGATCAATTTGACGAGAATTTTCCCGAGGAAAAGGCGGCCAAGAGTTCATTTTTCAACTGGTGGTACTTAGGGATCGTGTGCGGCGCCACAGCGGCGGTGCTGGTGGTGATCTATGTACAGGACTATGTGGGGTGGGCTGTTGGATTCGGAATGCCGGCAGTTGCTGTGGCTATTGCTCTTGCAATATTTTTGTTGGGTATTGGAACATATCGAAAACAAGCGCCAGTTGGGAGCCCTTTTACTAGGGTGGCGCAAGTGGTGGTTGCCGCCACAAGGAAGTGGCGCTTGTCGGAGGCGAATGGTGGTCATGGCATTTGTTATGAAGATGAGAGTATAGAGATTGGAGTGGATGGTCGAGCCAGGGTCCGGACTTTGGCACGTACTAGTCAATTCAGGTAATAATATTTAAATCGTGTCGTTTTAAATTAATATTAAATATTTATTAATTTTCTTTTAAGTCATTTGATTAATCATGTTAGGTGTAATAATACTAACCCCACCTACTTATTAATTGTGTTGTATTCGGATTATACATGAATAATCCGTAAAACAAAAATCCAACACCAGAATTCCTTTTTTTCACTTAACTAAACCTACCACCCCCTTTGTAACAACTTGAACAATCCACTTGATACTTTATGCTAGTAAAAACCATCATTTTAATTCCATACAATATATTGATTTATACAATATTTTATTACAAAATTTAAAATTTAATCATACATTTCATATAATATTAGTAATTAGGGGTGGCAATTTATACCATAATACGAAAATAAGACTTGAAATTAATACGAAATTAGTGAGTTAGGATTGACCCTTCGACGTAAACTCATATATGACACAACCTGTTAACATAAATAATGAATGAACTGGGTTAGTGTCAAACACGAATAATAAAAAATTAATATGATTAATACATTTAAATAGTATTATAAGAATAAAATGTTAATTTTTTATTATATTTTATCAAGTAATAGCATAATGCTGGTACAAAAAAAAGATATTATTATTTATTTTTCTTATTATATTTATTAAATTAATTTTTAATTTATTAAAAAAGCATGAGCATAGATTTGATTAAGTGATAGTTATATGGGCCAACATAAACACGACAGGAAAATAAATAGATCGACACGCATGACATGATTAGTTAAACAGATTGGATTAGAGTTATCTAGTACTTGACATCAACCCAAAACAAAACTCGACACAACACAATTGTCACCTCTATAATGTGTCACGTCTATAATAGTAAATAGGCTTGTCATGTCAAAATCAAACTATTTATTAAATATTAAATTTAACTATTTATTATTTATTTTAGTAGGTTATATTATTTTTGAGTTTCTATCATAAAATAGTTAAATCTAATTTATTATTTTTATGTTGATTCAAAACTGTGATATGTTGTGTCGAAAAATAATTAAATCTAACTTATTATTATATATCGAATTCATGTCATTTGACAAATTATGTCAAAAATCATCACCTCTTCTTGAATTTATTGGTTGAGTAAATTATAGTATTTGTGACAATGAATATGTGTATGACTTCAAGTTACAATCATTTTGCTTTCTTTTCTTTTTTAATGGTCATTGTGACGCAGTAAGAAACAGGTCGTAGTCGGCAGCCAAGTAGGGTTTTTGGGTGGGGTTTAAACGTTAGGTCGTACAAATTGTTTTAGGTATGTGTCATGTCAAAATCACCACTTTTTAGCACCAGTTGTGCCCATGACCCGATTTTATGACCCAACGGATCATGGATCTACCAATCTAAAATGTGGGTTCAGCGCCCAGTCTATCGCGTCTAGAAGCCAGCTAACAATAAAATACTAAATATAGTTAAAACGACCAAATTGTTAGAGCCGATGTTCCTCTTATAAAGATAGAATTGAAATGTAGTATCGAACATGTAGATGTAAAACTTATGCTAGACAATAAGGATGAGTTGCAAAATTAAATATCCTGAATTTAAATTTTGACAACGTTTCAAGATCAGATTCTGAGAGATTTATTTCTCATGAATACCCTATAGTCCAGACATGAATGATTTGTCTTTGATCGGACTAGGAAAAGAATTAATCAAAATGGACGTAAACAGAATTGAACACCTCAAATTATTGAACCAAAAAAAACACTTATGCTAGACGTGCTCAAACAACTCTTATGTTCATTTAAAGATAAATGTTTGAAACCTATAAAAAAGGATAAGTTAATCTAATTGACAAAGAATTCCATAGACCTAGATGGGGACTAAATTCTTTCCACCCACGTGGGAGATGTAGATTGAAATAACTCTGTCGCCTTCAAATATAGTACTAAGAAATTATTATTTTTTTAATGTATCTCATCTTTTAATCCAATGAAATTGTGAACATATAAAATATCTCTTCTTTTTTTTAACGATTTCACTCTACTTTATTATTTTTGCAATCAATGACTAAATATAGATGAAACATAGATTTACGACGCGAATTCATTTTTTGTTATTATATCAAAATATATATATATTTTTTGGTTGAATGATCTGAAATATTCGAATCATCTTACACGTATCTCGATTAATCTCTTCATCAACTCAATTAAAGGTAGAACATTCACTATTGTTGACAATATGGTCTTATCCCACTAAGTCACGAAAGTTGGTGGTAATAAAAAAACAGTTGGTTAATTGGAGGAATCGCCACTGCTTTACTGACCAATAATACTCAGTAAGAGTTAGACTTTTGGGGGCAGAGTCCAATGGATAGATAGAGCTATGGTTTAAAACTTTTTTAGTTTTGCATAAAACAGTTTGTTGTGTGTCGGCACAAGCAATTGTCAAAAAGAAAAGTTTGTGTCACACTTATCTTTAATGGATGGTCCATTACTTACCTTTTTCACCTAAAATGTGGATAGCCATTCAACCTTAGACCTTTTGCTCTACACCAAAATGATATACATGTGTGTGTGTGTGTGTGTAAAGTGGCCTGTGACGCCATTAAAGAGCCAACTATCTGGAATTTTGAATAGCATGGATATGGAGGACTTTGATAGATTCGGTATTTCGTAACGCTATTGAGCCGAATAATTTATTGGTCATCTTTAATTCTCTCAAATTTTCGTTAGTCAAGGGATATAAGTGTCAATCCTTATTAAAAAACTAAGGCTTGATTTCTTATGTCCCACTCTTTTGCAGTTTTATTGTTTCCACTTTTGAATTTCTCTTCCCTCATCAACGAGTGTTTTCTCCTCTGCTATATATGTATTACGTGAAAGTTGTGTAGGAATCGATTCGTTATTGTAGCAGTGATCTACTGATTTATACAAGGGAGAATTACACTCACGTTCTCTAAAGTGTGTTACTTAATCACTTAGACCTCTTGGTATTTGAAATATTACACACAGATCCCTTAAAGTTTATACGTGTATAACAATTAGACCCCTGATGTAAATATATCAGTTAATAAATTATACCTACACACCTTAAAGTTTGTAGGCATATAATACTTAGATCCCTTAAGTTTAAAATATTATACTTAGACTAAAAATATTTAATCAAAGATAGATTATCAAGTATTTTAAATTTTACAACTAAAATTCATGTTCTGTTGGATTTATTGAAATAAAATCAAAAATAAAAATTTAATATTTTTTCTTAAAAATCGGTATTAGTATACAATTATACTATCTATTGAAATAAAACTAAATAATCAAACAAGTGGTACAAGTCATTCATAATAGAACAAATTCATGTTCTATTATGTCATTTATTAAAATAAAATCAAAAATAAAAATCCAGTTTAAAAAAAAATCATAGTTAGTATGCAATTATACTATCTATTAAAATAAAACTAAAACAATTAAATAAGGGGTCAAACTGCAATGAATATAATATTTTTTAGTTTTAATCGGAGTAGTTTCGTATTTTAATTTGGTTGTTTAAACGACCAAATTAAATTCTAATAGACAATATAATTGTATATTAATTACGATTTTTTAAGAAAAATTGATCTTTTATTTTTGATTTTATTCTAATAAATTATATAATAGAACATGTATTTTAATTGTAAAATTTAAAATATTTGATATTCTATTTTTAATTGAAGTATTTCTGGCTTAAGTATAACATTTTAAACTTAAGGGGACTAAATAATTTATGTTTATAAACTTCTGGGGATTTAGGTATAATTTATTAACGGATATATTTATAGCAGGGGTATCTAAATGTTATGCATGTACAAATTTTAAGAGGTATGTATATAATATTTCAAATATTAAAGAGTCTGAATAATTAATCGACAAATCTCGTTGCGGATGTAATTCATCTTTTATATAAACAAACAGGGAGTCATATATGAGCTACCGAGTTTTCACTAGGGTCGCAAATGGATTGCGTTGGGCCTATCTGCATATCACAGTCAATGGTCCAGGGTGGGTCACAGCCTAGACCGTCGGCTTTTAACTAGTTAGTGGGCCAGGTTAATCTCACTCAAAAAAATTAGGGCCATTATCATTTATAGCCCAATAGGATAGACCTAGTAGGCTGAAAAATGGCCCTTGGCCCTAACCTTGGAGCTATTGGTCTGCCCATGGACCCCCATAATTTGTCAATCTTTAGTTTACACTGAACTATTAGAATGTTCTGTTCCCGTGCCAATAGCAACTATTCTAGAAAAAGAGCACTCTTCTTGAACTAAAATCAAGCTTGTATAACTTTTAACATATGTTACAGCTTTTGGTGTAGTTTCTCTCTAGCTTGCAAAAAAAAAAAAGTTTAGTGTTTGATCTCATAAACTCAAAATTAAACGTAAACTCACTAATACAATATCAATTTTATTTCTTATTTGTGGGTTGTAACTTCTATGTTTAATCTCGTAAACTTGAAATCTTCAGAATTTTGGACAAAGCGATGATTATCGATGATATCGATGCATCAACCAAGAAGAGAAATCCATGGAGGCTCAGCTCTGTGAATCAAGTTGAGGAAGTGAAGCTTCTTATCCGCCTAATCCCCATATGGTTAAGTTGCTTAATGTTTACAGTTGTGATAGCCCAACAAAGCACATATTTCACCAAACAAGGCAGCACAATGGTCAGGTCAATCGGGCACAACTTCCACTTCCCCGCGGCGTCACTCCAAGTGTTCACTGGCCTCACTATACTGGTCTCGGTTCTAATTTATGATCGAGTACTCGTCCCCCTAGCCCGAACCATCACCAAACACCCTTCTGGCATAACAATGTTACAAAGAATGGGCATTGGATTTTTTTTCTCAGTACTGGCCATGGTTGTATCAGCACTAGTAGAGGCAAAAAGGGTCGGAATTGCACAGGCCCATGGGCTCGAGGATTCGCCAAAATCGACTGTCCCTATGAGTGTGTGGTGGCTACTACCACAATATATGCTGTGTGGGCTGTCTGATGTGTTCACAATTGTGGGAATGCAGGAACTGTTTTATGATCAAATGCCTGAGGAGATGAGAAGCATGGGTGCAGCAGCGTACCTTAGCGCAATCGGGGTCGGGAGCTTCATGAGCACTGGTGTTATAGCAGCTGTGCAGGCCATTAGCTCAAGATTGGGGCATGAATGGCTGAGTGATAATCTTAATGGTGCACATCTTGATGACTTTTATTGGGTTTTGGCAGGGTTGAGTGCTCTGAATTTGTGTGCTTATGTCTGGGTTGCAAAGGGTTTTGTTTACAAGAAGCTTGAATGGGATGATGCTGAGAAAGAGGTGAATTTTCCGGGTTTCGCAGATGCATAGTTTTTGAGACTCTGGAAGACACGTCTAGTGAGTGATATCAAGAGTTAGAATGGTTATTAAACTATTCTTGTATGCCTATTGCGTCTGTTAAATATTGCTGCTTAGTTAAATAAAAATTTATGTAATGTTAATGTCCCTAGGGGCTTGTCATCTTGTCGGGCTTCTGATGCAGGCAAGCGGGTAAAAAAAATGATCAAAAATGAATAATGAAAATAAACTGTTGATTTATTCATAAATACCGGTTTATTTTCTTACTTTATACATGTTGATTCACATAGAATATTAGTTATAAAGGCTTCAATAACTCTGTTGATTTTAGAAGAATTAAGAATAAAAGAGAAATTTTCTCAATTGTATTGAATAATCAAAAGCTGCTTAGTCACTTACAAGAGTTTAAATGGTATTAAAACCATAAAACTAATTAGAAAATAATCAAACATAACTGAACTATCGTTAATCACGTAATTAGATCATTAATACAGATTTTTCCAAAAAAGAAAATTTTCAAACTAATTATACTGCTAAAAACTATGAATCACCAAGATTAAGTCAAAATAAACAGCGATCAATTCTGACTTAAGGCATTGAAGTTATTCAACTACAAAATATTACCAAATGGATAAAATGCATTTTTCAATTTTTAAATAAAAGGAAATTATCCAAAATCCATTCAGGGTCATCGCATCCCTTATTAGGGGTACGATGGGATCATTTTGTCTCGTCATTCCTAACTGGACATGAGTGTTTAGAAATTCACGTATGTAGAAATGGCTCTAAAAAAGTCAATTCGTTCTATCTCGATATCTATCCTAACGATCCAAATATTGTGCTGCGATTCGATCTATATCAAATTTTCTCTTTGAGTATCTAAATTCTTGAAAGAGGGCCCTTCTTGTCCTTTCCAAATTGTAGGAATGTGGAACAAGATAAGCAAGTCCAATATGAGAATTCATATATTGAAAATTACAAAAATCGAGACTACTTGGTCATACCAAGATCGAGCCAATCTCCATTTTATGAATTTGATGTGAATATATATGACACTAGAGTGTGTTTGGTTTGAGCATTAAGATTTCGGGGCTACGGGGCTAAACTAATCTAGGCCCACGCACGTAACACCGACTTTGCATATTCCCAATGGTTGGGTCTTAACTCCGAATCTAAAACTCGGCTCGAGTGTATAAGAAAAACAATAATGTTGTGTTTACCAAGTTTTTCATTTTAAGTAATATGACAAAATTTTTATTATTGAATATTAATGGAACCCACTTATTTGATGGTGGTGAGTAAAACAAAAAAATCCAACTATAAATTAATTTTTTTTACAACACCAATTTTTTTTTTTTGAGAGATACCATAGCCATATCTAGAGGTAACAACTCGGCAAGTTGGGTTGGTTTAAATCGGGTTGAAATGTAAAACAAATTTAATCTATTTTTAACCCACTTAATAAATAGGTTATAATTGATTGAATTATAACGAATTGAATTAAACTTATTAACTCATAAAATAATTAAAAATTTAATATAAACGCATAATAATATACTAAATAAAACACATGCAAAAAGCACTTCATGGGAGAAAAATTAAAGAAAAAAAAGGGGTACATCATAATTTCAAATACTAAGAGGGTACCGTACGAATTCCTATAAATGTAATGAAGATAGACTGTGATGTTCCTTCAAAAAATTATTTGCGTTTGAAGGACCGTATGTGTGTCTATGTCCAAGTCCAAATGTACAACACAAAGGAAAAAGGTGTTGATACTTGATACGACGTAGAATTGAATCTAGATCTGTCTTGATCTAAATGAGTTCTGAATCCGATTTATTTATACGACGAATTTTAAAATTTTAATTTATATCTGCTTACGTTAATAATTAGATGTACGATCCGTTTACTCAATTCAGTTTGAACATTTGAATCCTAATAAAATTTTATAAAAAATTAATAATTTTACCAAATTTAAGTTAACTTTTAACCTCAATAATTTATGTTTAATTTCATGTCAATCTCATTTGTAATCTAATTAAATACGTGTGTATGTGCAATGATTTCTCTCAATTATTAATATATATTATATATACCGGATCGAATTTTTATAGAATCGAATTTACATGTATTCAAATCCAAATTTGTTTAAAGAAAATTATTTAAATTCGAGTAGGTAGATTAAAATATTGATCTATATTCAGTTAAATTGACTTGGATTCGAATTAAAATCCGCTTCATTTTTTTGATCTAGATCATCTAGTATCTGTTTGCCGCAACGGATTCCGACTAATCCGGATTCGAGCCGGGCAAGACCACAAGTGTGGCAAAATTCTCCCTACCGAGAATTCAACGCAGTTACTTTTCCAAGTTTCGAACCGAAGAACTTGGTTAAGCTAGAACAACATCATGTTAGCTGATCTATCCGCTTCATTGACGAGCCTAATAACACCCTTAAAAATTATGTCTATGTTTTTTTTTTGGTTGGTTAAAAAAAATTACGTCTATGCACTCTTGTGGACAGTTGGTCCCAGACACAAATAAAAATATAAAGAGAGTAATGTTAACACCCCTTTAAAAATCCTAGCAATGAAAAATAAAGCCAGCAACGTGTCTAAAATAATTTAAAAATCCTAGCAATAGAGAATGAAAATTCCTTTAATACACCAGTTAAATATTACCCAACAAAATTGGATTTCTTTTTCTTTTTTTTTGGTCAATTTACAGAAAAATAAGATACTACTTTCTATAAGAATTAATGTGGCCCACTTGATTTGGCACATGTGATTTTAATGATTATTATGAGATAATTAATTTGGATTAGATAATGATAAGGTTATCAATCCAAATCTAACCGGTATAACTAGTATTTTCTGATTGGTCAATGAGAAGAAGTGGTTTCCTGATATTTTACTTTGATGAGAAGTAGAATTTATGTTGAACTAGGGAACTGGTCCTCTCTCTACCTATAAGTATACACATGCCCCATCAAATTGTATATCCTAAGAATAAAGGTTAAAAGAGAAAAATCGATTTCCGAACTACACCAAGGATGGTTCAACTCTTGTTCAAGTAATTCAAGGTTTGTGATTATGGCTCCAGATATGTTTGATTATGATGTTCTAAATTCTACATTATGATATTATGAGTATGTGAAAATCAAATTGTTCTAGATCTTGGAATTAGGGTTTGATTGATCTCTTTAATCAAATAAAGTTTACACTTTCCTCTATAAATGAATCAATCAGTCTGTTGAACGTACATAATTCAAAGCATTAACTTAAACTATGAAAAAAAAAAAAAGGAAAGAAAAACAAAGAGGGACTGGCTTTAAACTACTGAAAATTTTCTTTCTTTATTGGTCGACTTCCAAGACATTCTTCAATGAGCTTGCTCTTGTTGTTCCTTAACCTTTCCTTCAGTAAATGTGGTCTAAGTTTATTCACATCTGCTTGTTGAACTGGCTTGAGAAAGAACTCTTCTGCCCCTTGTTCCAAGCATCTGATCCATCATATCAACCAAGCAATCCAAGTTCGGTCTCAATTTTTTGTCAACAAGAAAGAGTAATATTGCATACATATGATCAGGGACGGAATTAAAATTTTATCTTGAGGGAAGTCAAAATCATGACATAGACAAAAAATTTATTTAACGGAATTATTCAATGATTATAGTTGACAACAAATTTTAATTTATAAAAAACCTATTAAAATTAATTTTATACAATGCCATCATAAAAATTAATTTGATTCACAAAACCCAAGAATTGGTTTGTACCATAATAAAATTTGGTTTGTGACAATATCACCGTCTTTTTTTTCTTACATAATAATAAATATAACTTTATGGTTATAAATAAATTATCCTCATAAATAATAGTTTCACATGATACTATCGTAAAAATGAATCACAAGCCAATACATTATTTTTTATATAAGTCACATTTGTAACTCCATTTTGGACAAAAAAAAAACCTTTACTTTTTATGTTACTATAGTTATCAGAATCAACCAAACAAGTGTCTTCGTCAATAAGAGCAGTACTCATCGATCCATGTAATTATATCCCTCATTTGGTTATTAAATTGAAGTCATCAATCTTTTTAGTACACTAAGTGAAATAAATACTTATACATTGAGCTTTTTAAGAACATAAGAAATAGCAATAAAAGTTTTTAGAAATATATGACAGAATGCGAAGGGGCATGGCTTATACATAGTTGTGTCACTACATATGACGCTTCCTAAACCCCGTGTAATAACAGAAGTTTTGTGCATTGAATTGTCGTTTTGTAGACAGAATTAAAGGAACTACTAAAGAGTTGTGTAAGTTTTCTTTCTTAATTACCTGTTAATCCTTGAAGGAATGTTCTCAGAGGACATTATTACAACTGGTATGTCTCTTAAAGATGAACATTCCTGCAATAGATATCACATAAAAGCTCTAGTTAATAAGATCACTCTTGAAAGTAAACCATGTAGAAAATGTCCAAAATTCACCCCCATAATTTATTTTGGCCTTTCTAATTAAAATTCAATTACTTGAATTCATACAAATTTATCTGTATGAATTGTACTGGTGAAGAAAATTACATTAAATGATAAGATGTCGATATATTTTTTCTCACCAACCTTATAATTGACCTCGTATCTTCAACCAATAAAATTTTTGTAAGAAATTATTCGAATTTTGTAAGAAATTTTTTTCTTTTATTAACTATGTTAATAACCTTGTTTATTGCTATAAAATTAAGGTTTTAATTTTGTTTCATATGGTATGTACAGATGAATACACATATTTTTCCTCTTTGATAATTATTTTTTTTTTCCCAAATGCATAAATTACTAAGTAACACAATTATTAATTATTATTTAACATGGAAGGAAATTGGTTGCTCAAGTATACTAAAATTATTAAATCATTGAATTGAATATTGAGTATAGGAGTGTCAACTTTATTAACTAACCTTAATCTTTCTCAAGAGATCATAGCCCGTCATTCCAGGCATACGGTAATCTGTAATAATCAAATCCACTTCCACCTCCTGCAATGGCAAAAGTTTAAAAACAAAACCTAATAATTTATGAAAACAAAGAAACATATATATAGTGAAAAACCATGGTTCAGTTTGATAGAGTTTGTTTTAATACTCTTTTTGTTTTCCAATCAAGACAAGTGTCCACACTGTAGAGGACAAATGGCATAGGATCATGAGCTGACGTGGCTACGTGGGTCCCAGCAAGACCCCACAATTGGTAGGGGGCCAAGCACCGTAGAAGGGGTCAAGCACCGCAGAGGGAAGGGCACTTCCCCATTACCGTGGAAGCAGCAAAACGATTCCTTGTCCAAAATGACATGAGTGGTATTACGAGCATGTTGGGGACAATCATGGTGTGACTTGGCCAATCCGTCTCCCATGCCACAGAAATGGTAAACAAACATACCTAGGATTGTAAAACCCAAAAAAAAAAAATTATTATTGACCTAAGGGTTGGAAAGTTAAATTTGGGCTTCCTTTGAGTTATAGTATGTGGTCTCACGCTATGAGAGATAGAGTTTTTCCTCTTTAGATGTAATTTCAACCTAAAATATGGCATATGAAATGAGTAGGTCAAGAGTGTATATCTAGGGCTGTCAAAATTTGACACGACACGATTAACCGACACGAATTAAACGGATTTGGGTGAGATATTAACGGGTATGGATGATAAACGGATTGACATGCCAAACACGTTTAATAAACGAGTCGTGTTTGGGTGAGACGTGTCAAACCGTTTATCACACATTTATCCATTTAAATATTATTAATATAATAATAAATTAATAATTATTTTATAAAATTAGCAAGAAAAAAGAAGTAAAGAAATCAATAAGAAAAAAGAAATAAAGTAGTAATTCAAAGATAAAAGAGAGGAGATGTGGAGCACTTCAAAGACAAAGGCAAACCAATACCTTTTGTTTTTGTCCCACATTGAAAAATGAGTGGAGATAAGGAAGGTTGAGTTACCTAGAAAAAGCAATGACCTCTTGTTTTTCTTTTTAAGCCTTTAACTCTTATTTTTTATGAGATATGAGATTTGGCTAAAAATTCCTGTTTTTTGAGGTAAGTGCAATTGGCAATAAAAAAAGTCTAGTATTAAAATTTATTAAAATAATTTTTTTAAATTAAATAGGTTAAACTAGTCGTGTCGTGTTACCCGTTTATTAAACAGGTCGTATTCGTATTGAGATTTTTTACCCGTTTACTAACGTGTCGTGTATTGATTTTTACATTTTTCACCCGTCATCTGTTTAACCCGACACGTTTAACACCCCTATATATATCACATGTTAGGTCTTGACGAGTGTAACTAGTGAGTCAAATATAGAATTTATAATTAATCTTGTAATTAATAAAATCCTATTATGATTAACTTAATGTAAGTTAATGTTAGTGGTTTAAAACATGTTAATTGTACATAAACATTACTTTATGCTTTACTGACATATCAAGTTTAATAAAATTATTAGATTTATTATGTGATTGTGAAATAATATGCATGTTAAATAATTATTTAGCATATGATAATCTGTGGTGGACTTGTGCTTATGTTTATAGAATTAATAAACATGTTATCATGTTAAAAGTAATAAAAATGCTAATTGTGTAAATAGATGTGTCATCTAGGTGTTTGTTTAAATGTATAGGTAAATACAAGTATGTTAGTTGAATTAATTGTCTTACATAACATGTTTGATATTGTGTTGAAAATGTCATTATATTGCATTCATTATGTAATGGATATTGTAAATTGCACCAAAGGCAATTGCACATTGTATTACATTATGCATGAGTTGCATTAAATTCATGGGCATTGACATGGGTGGGAGTGTGTGCATGGTATGAAATCAATCACCGCATAGATGGTTGATCGTGGGCTCTAGAAAGTCGTATCAAGGTCTGACTGTGTTGTACAAAAAATTAAATGGATAAACATGTCGGGGATAGTAAAAAGGGTTAAATTCTTTCTCAGGTGCATGTTCCTACTTGGTTTATATACTTTCTGGCAGTGTAATTCTAGAAAAGTGTAACGACAAAAACGGAGCCACAGGTAGAATGTCCTGAAAATTCGTTGATGGTCGGTGTTCCATTGGTGTAATATCATAAATCATCTCCCCACAAATACACAAGAAAATAAATTAATTAGTTATTGTGTGTACATAACACCAATGAAATGTCCGGATACATATGCATAACATTGCATGTGTTGTGGAAGCTTAGGATGAGACTCGGTGTTGGTATTACTTGCATGAGTCTCATCTCATAGCATGACATAATTTATGACATTTGTTCATAATAGACATATTTGAATGAATGCATGAAATGATTGTTGTATGTAACATTTCACATACATTTGGGTTGAGAGATATTCTCTATAGGAGTTACTCTATTGAGCGTTGGCTCATCCTTTATAAGAACATTTTTCAAGTATCGCGCAAGCATCCACCGAAGGCGAGGCCATGGGCCCGTTTTGATGACAGAGCCAATATGTGGCTCTTATTTTGACCTTGCAGTCCCTTGCCTATGTTTACTTTTGGCCTTATATAAGTTTTGTAAACGAAAAAACTTCTTTTATATTAAAAAGGCATATATATAAGACTCTTTTGAGACATTTATTCTTAATTATGGTAGTATCTGATACTATACAATTGAGTATGGATGAATGGACTTGGTGTGGTCAATGTTGTACAGGTTGCATTTTGATAGAGCTCCTCGTACAAAGGAAACTCTGCCCAAATTTTGTTAAGTTATGAATCCCGGTAAATGGAGCATAACGACATGGTATCAAATTTCACCTACAGCTCGACAAACCTTGCGGTCTTCTATCGTATATCCCCCAACGTTAGAATTCAGGTGTAGTGTGGGCTGTCAAGACCTCCGTATTCTTGTTCTCTTTTAGTCTCTCTCAAAAACGTGAGTAAAGATTAGATGCTGAAATAGAGAACCTAGACGTCTATATATAGGCTACGACAAAGACCCTAAGGAGAAATAAGGACCGGACTCCCAATGGACTTAAAATTTCTATGTTCAACCCAGAACAAACATCCTACAACCCATTAATAATAAATCAGTTCACTAAAAACTTATTATTGATCTCTTGAGTTTTATCTCAAAATTATATTCAAGTTTTTTATTATTATATACTTAATAATCTCCCCACGTTTAAAATTACATATGTTCGTCAATTAAATAAAACACTAACAATTATATTTAATTGACTTTTTTTATTCCTCGAGACCTTACCACTCAACTTATTTGTCATGTTGGATAATTAAATCCACCTGCACGGTTTGACATTGACAAAACTTATAAGTTTTTTCAAGAGGACATCATCAACTCATTTAAATACCAGGATATGGTTTCCTTTAATATTTAATTTCCACCATACAAATAAAATCGTCTCCAAATTCATTGAGTTTATTGACTCAATATGAATCTCACTCTTTGATAAATTAAAGTGACAAATATTGTAAGCATGTGGCAATTAAATATTTAGGGATTAAGAGCATAAGCAATCATAATAATCATGAGGTATTCATTATCTTATTAAATCAGTAAAATATAATAATCTTAATATGGGTCTGTTTAATACACAAAGTGTACTAGTATAATAATTCGAGACATCAAACAATCTCTTATAGTCAAGACAAACTATGTTAGAATATTACATTACAATCATACCGATAGCGTATCCAATTTCATCTACGATTGTGAACATATACTTATATTATACAAGGATCTGATAATTTAGTCTTCTGTGGATAAGCTGAACTCTACACACCAAATTATCTACAATATAAAATAAAAGACACACATGCATATCATATATAAAATATAATACAAACATTTTGCACGTATAGATTTTCAATAAAATGAATAGAATAAATTTTTATTAATTAATAAAACGAGTTTCACTAAAAAAAAATAAATTTTAGTATACTATTCTATCAGAACGACCCATTGGCATTCTGGTCTAAGACGGTCCCTTCGTTAAGAGGTTGTTTGAGTTCTTTCATATTAACCATCTTTTCCACTAATCTTGTTTGAGTTCTTTGATATCAACCATCTTTTCCACTAATCTCTTTTGTGTCACAGACATCGAACACGTGTGATGACTCTAGTTTAACTCCCCACCTACACTAAAGTTGTGTTCGGTAGCCTTTTATTTCTGTTTCTTTTTTCAATATTTGCTCAAAAAAAATGTGTTTGTGATGTGTTTTTTTTTTTTTTGTTTTAGAAACTTTGTTTTAAAAATAAGGTCAAAAATAAAAAATACAACAAAAAAAACATTGTCATAAACACCAAAAAAACTAAAACACACGGGCTTCATATTGAAATTAATGAGATCTTAACTTCAATCCTCTTGACAACAAAAAAAATGAGTTTTCATCTTGCTTGAATGTAAAAACACCTCCTTTCACTTCTTTTTTTTCGCGTCTACCTCTTTGTGCCTCTCTCTCTCTCTATCTAATTTTTTTTGTGGTTGGGTGGTGGGTTTTATTTTTTGTGGCGTTCGATGGTGGGTTGGGTGCTGGTTTTTGTAGGGGGTTGGGTTGTGTTGGGTGCTGGTTTTTGTAGGGGGTTGGGTTGTGGGTTTTCAGGGGCGTTGGTGATGAGTTTTTGGTTGTTGGGATGTGGGTTTTGTACGGGCGTTGGGTGGTGGGTTTTACAATAGCGTTGGGCAGTGGATTTTTAGTATAGTATTAAAAATATTTTTTATTTTTATTTGTATAATTTTTTAAATATAAATGACTATCAATTATATTTTATATTTTTTTAGTTTTTACCACAAAAAAAATAAAAATTATTTATGTTTTTTATTTTTTAAAACAAAAAATTACCAAAGGCAACTAAGTAACATTTGTTTTTGTTATTTTTGTTTTTACTTTATTCAGTTTTACTCCTCTCCAAGCTTAATTGTATGTAGACAGAGACACGTAAAACTGTAGTATTTACTTTCTGAATCACATATATACATCACTTTTATTAAATTGCTAATAATCCAATATGAATTTTTTTGTAAGAAATTTAATATTTAATGAAAATTTTCTGGGGAAAAAAAGTTACCAAAAAGTATCAATATATGGAGAGAGAGAGAAGAGAAGAAGAAGATTGAAGCAACTAGAATAAAAAAACTTACTCGACGATTGTGATTTGCTGTACAAACGGAGGGAAGGTCTGAATCTTTGTTTTCCTCGTCTTGCAAACCCAGAAACTCGAGAGCCTCATTCCCAGAATCTACAGTAGTCACTGTTATTCAAGAAAATAAAAACATCCAGAAAAAAAAAACCATCAGAAATCTGTAAATCCAGTACAAAACAAGCCAATGATGATCTATTTTTTCTAGAATACACAGTATATATATACATAATGGGTGTGTTTGTGTGTGTGCAAGCATTAATATTTTATACCTTGATAGGAAGAGATCTTGAGAAGCCTCTCAATCAGTTTTCTGTCAATAACACTATCATCAACTGCCAGTACATGAAACTGTGAATCCGCGACCACCCCACCCAATGAGCCCATGAAGAACACAACCCAATACAACTAAACACATAGGATCGATATTGGCCTCTTAATGAATGGCTTTTGGTAGTGTTTGACAGTTTNTTGTCAATGAGCCCATGAAGAACACAACCCAATACAACTAAACACATAGGATCGATATTGGCCTCTTAATGAATGGCTTTTGGTAGTGTTTGACAGTTTTTTTGAGGACCCAGAGATATACAAGATACTGACAGTTTGGATAGATCCGACCAGATCATATCATTCAGAATTTTCGGGATCTTGTAAGTTTGTGTTTGAATTGAATAACAAAGAATTGGATAACAATCAAAAGAAGTTTTTTTTTAAGCAAACAAGTTTGAATGGAATTCAAATATGTAGATTTTTTCATAATAAATAGTGCCAATTTGTACTTTATACCCTTAAGTATGCACTTAGTTTTGATTTGGTCACTAAAATTCTAATTAGAAACATCACTTCTTTTTTTTTTCGATGACAAGAGTGTATGGAGCAGTTTACACGCACTTCAACTAATTTCCTCTTCAATCCGATCAAAGGTGACCATTCATACCGAGATTAGGGTGTTCATGAAAGATAAATTCTTCATGGTCTAACTCTAAAAAATTGTCAAAATTTAAATCTATGATGTGTATTTTAGAGCCCGTTCCTATTTATTCTGCCAAAATAGCCTGGTTACTCAGGTGGAGAAGATAGATATGTGTCCAACAAAAAATATTTTATTTTCTCTCAAAGATTTTCTTTGTGTCACAATTAAATGAAACAAAATAAAAAAAAATTATCCTAGGCAAAAAAGAAATTTTTGTTTTCATCAAATATGTCCTTCTGGCTAAGCGACGTATTGGCCACCACATGAAGCTATTTCGTCAAAAACAAGTTTATAAATCTAAATATAAGGATTAAATTGAAACTTATTTCAAACTTTGAGGATATAATTATAAATTTAAAACTTTGAGAGATCAAATAAAAATTATATCCATACTTGGAGATTATGAACTGTAAATTATGCTATTCTATAGGATCTTTGATGTAGGGTGAGGCTACACTGGCAGTAATCTTCTACCATTGTTAGCTGATGTAATATGTAATCGTCTAATAGTAAATAAATAAGTGGATAAGGTCCACCAAATAAAATCCATTCACATGACTACCTCGACTCTAATTAACCCAATTTTTAATTATTTATTTGTTCGCTTTTCGATCAATGGTTGGCCAAGCATCCTAGAAATTCTCTCCCCAATCTGCTTCAAAAAAGGTAATGCTACTTGAATCTAATTTGTTAAGATAATTTACGAACTTAATTCATCACAACTATTAGATTGGTTGCAGATCACAACAAATNGTATTTATTTGTTCGCTTTTCGATCAAACAATGGTTGGCCAAGCATCCTAGAAATTCTCTCCCCAATCTGCTTCAAAAATGGTAATGCTACTTGAATCTAATTTGTTAATATAATTTACGAACTTAATTCATCACAACTATTAGATTGGTTGCAGATCACAACAAATACTAAGATTTACTATCAATTCAATAGTTATGAATAATGATCATTTATAATCAAGATCATATTTGCAATAATGAAATCCAAATCTGACCTTTTTCCCTGAACTGCTAGTTCCACATCTCATTCTAATATGCTTCATTTCTTCTCAATAATGGACTTACAAACTCCACACAAGATAAAGAGTGCACCCATAAACTGGGAAGAAGATAGGGTCCTGCTGCCAGAAAATATTCCCAGGCTAAGGACTGACCATCCCTTGCATGGTTCAAAGTATTAGCCGATACAGATATGAGCCGTCTGAATCATATCTGATACAATACCTTCAGAGTCGATACCATTATCCCGAGTCTCACACGACTCGGCCGAGTCATCTGAGTTGTCTCCGAGTCAATCCTTGGTCAAATAACTTAAGGGAAATAACAGCCAAGAACACCAACACTTGTTCATGGTAAAATGAAATCACAAATAGACTCATACAAATAGAATAAACACTTCATAAAAGAGGGGAGGGGGAGTTTTTTTGTTGATTGCATTTCTGTTTTCTGTTTCCTTCTGTACATTTTTATTCACTGCAGAAATCCCAAAGACTCTTAAACCTTCAGGGACAAAAAATTTGGGTACAAAATGAATTCTCTCAGCTTAACCCTTAGCTATATTTCATTTACAATTGGAACAGGCTTGAGTAGCTCAAACTACAAGAGTGTAGTGTACCTTTTGGTGAAACATATCATATGCCTGTGCTGATAAATAAAACAGAGATGTCAATGCCAAAATACCACAATTGTGTAACACTGGCAGCCACGGTTCATCCTTCAACAGCCTCATCATATAGCCAAATTGTGACTTCTCACTGAGTGAACACAGTTGTCTCCACCAGAGATCTGCTCCACATGAATGGCTACTAGCTGCAAGTGGAAAACTTGAGCCTATCTGTAACTTCAAGTGTCTTCAGCAAAAGCTCTGAATATGAAATCACGAAAACGTTTGGAATACTGCTTGGGATCAACAGCAGAGATTGAGGTTGGATCATATTGTATCGATTTATAAGCATGTTCAAGCTTCTTGCTAATGTCATAATCCTGTAGTATATCGATTATGCCAAAGAAAAGGATGACATCATAACACTCTCCTGTTAGTTCTCCAACTAACTGAGACTCACAATCGTTTGTTCTCACTGTTCGCTCAGCCCGTGCTGGCATGTCCACACCTAGTCTAATGGAAGCCCACCTGCAAATTTCAATTGATAAATAGTGAGAAACATGAAAACATATCAATTACTACCAAGGCTACAAGTGAATTTGGATAATTCTTGCATAAGCACAGCGATACTCATTGACGGAACCAAGAAGGGGCCTTATCACTTTATGAAAATGTCTATAACCCTCGTTTTGAAAAATCCCATGTTTTTCCTCAAGTTTAAAAAAGCATTATATATATAGCCTAGTCACTTAGTGAATACAAAAAGACCAATTAATTGTTATCTAATAGTCTTATGAAGATGCAATCACATGGATGAGTATGGTGACCAAAGAAAATTAAAAAAAGTGTGCATTTTTTGTAAAATCAGACTAAATATTTTGCTTATATCAAAAGTAATGCTTTATTCACAACTTACTTTGATGATGGTATTGCATGAAACAAATATTTTTAGGACAATTTATTCAGTCATTGCATCATATCATAACAAGAGAATAAGTGGATCATGACATTGTCACAAACTAAGTTTTATGATGGTAAGAACTGATTTTTGGGTCATACGACCCAAACTGAATTTTACAATGGTATTAGATAAAAGTTAATTTTTAGTAGGTTTTGTATAGCTAAAAACTTATCTAGTTGAATAAAATTATTAAATATACTATTGTTTGGCCCCCCTCAAGATAGAATCCTGGTTCTGTCCTTGGCGATACTTGCTGGAATTTTCTGCCCCAACAATCTACTTAGGAGCTTTATAGTAGAGATTTTTTTTTCTCTTTTCCTTTTGTTTGCTGAGAAGATGTACTCAAAAACAAATCAATATCACATTGAGAATCAAGCTTCAGCAACAATTTTGTAGGTGCTCTGTGAATGGGCTGCCGGATGAACTCAAGGAAAAACAATCCAAGGCAGACAGAACGAGTATTTTCTTCATTCAGGAATTCAACAGTTTGTCGAAACTTGAAATGTAGATTAATACTTCTTGAGCCATTAACAGGTATCTAACATGTACTGCAAAACATATCTTTTTTTTCCTGGTGAATTTAGTTGTTTTGGAATGTTCTGAGTTCTATAAACAAGAGTCTTCGTAATTATATTTTACCGTGTAGGATCAGAAAGAAGATCCATGTTAGCTCTCGAAAGTCTAGGAGCTGCTCCTTCATTATTTGTGTCACCAGTCCCTGAAAGTGAAGCTTAAAACATATTTCATCTTTTCGGCAAATAATATTGTAAAGAGAGAGAGTAATTCAAGAAAGGTTAGAGATAAACCAGTAGGAGTACGAACTCCAGATGAACGAGCCTCAGTCGTGATTGTTTCACTATTGTCCGAGGTTTCTCGAAAATGAACACCAAGCAAAAGACTGTAATCCATGATTCTCTCCTGTTCAAGAAAGTCACAGTCTCTGTCCACTTGCCTGCATGGAGGAACACTTCAACTTACCATAAAAGAGGAAATATTAAAGTGCATATTAGCAACAATTCCTAACTCCACTATAATCTGCAGTTTACGATAGTATTTGGAAGCATAAAGTGACAGAGTGAATTTCTTTATGTGTGAAGAAAAACTCTGCAAGAGCATGCTGTGCCATTTACTACCCATGTGTATCCCCTAGTTTAGATTTATACACTAGATCAACTCACTCACCAAATAACAACTAACTTAACTCATTAATCAGTTTTTAATTCATGTACTTGTACAGTCAATTGATTTAACTTAGCATATATGTCACTGGCATTAGAGTTGTAGAGTCAATTTTATAAAAATGTAAATGATTATGTTCCATAGAAATTTGAGCAAAAATATGGACGGAGAAGCAGGAATTGGCTCTAACTCATCTTCGATCTCTTTGAAGTATACCTTTGAGATAATTGCTCGAAAACTTGATCTAATGATCTTTTACTCTTTGTACAACCTCATACTTATTTTCTAATGTTTGGAAAGCCAGCACAGACACACTCACTCTTCAAGGAATGGTCCAAAAGAAAAGGGAATACAAAATGTTCAAGAAAGCAAATCACCTGCAATATTCTTGGAACCAAACCTTTGGTAATCTGAAGACAAAATTGAGGTCCAAGTCCTTGAGGGTAGTTGTTGCATCAATTTCAGATTCAGGTTTATCAGTGGTTCGACCATGGGAAGAACCTTTCAAGTCAAATCTTCTGTGAATTGCACATTCGGTACAAAACAAGTTCCCTATTATGACAAACCGCACCTGCTCGTAAATTCAAAGATATAAGCACAGACATGGATTTCAAAGTTCACAACATTGACATAAACTTAAAATTTATAATGTGATTTTTTCAGAAATTCCAATATTACTTTCTTTTGGGCAGACCCAGTCAACTTGACACAGTGAAGACCAAAAAATTTGGTAACTAGAGTGTTCTCAAAGGCTCGAACATGATTGTAATAGGCTGGAAGCATCCTTTTGAGAACCTGCAGTGGCATCGACCGAGTAAAATTAGATTGCTATAGTGTATCACATGCCATCTATATCTCTGCAATTACTTATGAAAGTCTTGTCAAAAATTTTGCGGGGAAGTGTTGAAATATAAATGCATTAAAAAATTTGGCACATATTAACGTTTAAGTTCCAACTGCAGATTAATTTATATTATCAACTGAATTAGTACCAAAATTTGTCCTGTCTGAATTGATCATAAATTCAAAATTTTGGTGCTGTATTAGACACTATTTCCATAATTCAATATCAGGCAAAATTCTGGGAGTTCCCAAACATTAAGCAAGCTGCTTTCGGTGACTGAAATAGCATGAGTAGAAAATGCATCAGATCTCAAAAAACTCATCATCGATGCAGGCAAACTAAAAAACGAACTTACTTTTACTTCTGACTTCTTCATGGTTTTTANCTGGGAGTTCCCAAACATTAAGCAAGCTGCTTTCAGTGACTGAAATAGCATGAGTAGAAAATGAATCAGATCTCAAAAAACTCATCATCAATGCAGGCAAACTAAAAAACGAACTTACTTTTACTTCTGACTTCTTCATGGTTTTTATCATGTACTTGTCATCATTGGTCAAGTAAAAGAAGCTTCCACTTTTTCCAGGGGATGAGAGTTCCCGTAGGGCATCATTCCCACATATGGATATCATGTAATCAGCTGGATCCACCTTAAACAATTGCCTAAGAGTCCTGAAAACAAATTTATCATCAATCATCTCAGGCCATAATAATTTGTTTTTGCCCGATGTATCAAATGAGTGAAGAATGCTCATGGACAATCACTTTCATGCAGCTACATGAAGGAAGTTATTTGTGTCTTGTAAAAACATTAACATTTTGGAATTTGCTATGTGCAGTTCCTAACTGTATTTCTGCACCCCCCCCTCCCAGCGGGTGGGAAAAAAATAAACAAATGAAACGGCAGGAGTGCAAAATAGATTTGGGAGTTCTATAATGTACTTTGATAATGGCAGAACTCGACTAACAATAGAATTACTTATGTTCAAAGATGGCCAAAAGGCGAGTGTCCTTGCAGCTCGGTGGCACAGGCATACCATCAAAATAGAGGTTGACTTGATTCTTATTTTAGGCACAACATCCAGAAAACAAAAAACTCTTATTGTAAGAACAAACACATCCACATAAACACCCATATGAGTTGATCTCATGGAAAATGAAGTGTCCCAAACCTGACCTGAAAACCAAGGGACAGTAATCCTTCCATTTGAAATCACATGATTGATGAGGTGGTGTGTGTTTGGATCCCTCTGGAGGAAATCTGGTCCATAATTTTTCCTTGGTATCAAAAGCATTAGCCCTCAAATCAAGTGATGTTGCTGGAGCGGGCCTTCCTACAGCATGTCTGTTTAGTGGCACCCTTAGATTAGTTGCATATGGAAAGACTAACATATACAGATAAAGATGTGAAAATATCATCATATTGACTGCAAACATGATCCAGGTCTGAGTAGGGAGAGAGACAGAGAAATGGAAGCATTCACTAAAGCCATCCTAGCTGGAGACCAAGCACCACGTAGTATTTATATCACTTAAGAGCTCTACAAAAGACAAACAGGAACTTCCTTCTTGATAAACAAATTTTTTAACCAGATTACTTGTATCAAATTTTTTAACCAGATTACTTGGACCCAAAATGGGGTAAGGTTGCCTATCAATTAGCTCTGCAAAACGCCTGTTATAGTGGGACGCTTGTGCACTAGGAACGATATTTTTAACTTAATTACCCATTATCACCAATTTGACCAAAGAAAACAAGTGTTGCTATAGGTAGATTAAAACTTCGAAATGAAAATTTTGAGCCCTCAATAGAATTTACAGAAAAAAACTGAGGGGACCAACATTTAGGTATCATAGGGATATTTTGTAAAATACATCAAACAAGAAAATATTTTGAAATTTTGGGAGGGGTAATGGTCCCCTAGGCACCACCCACACCCCCAAAAATCATCTATGATCACAGAAACACAAAAATGTAACAGAAGTTATGTAATTGAATTTATAGAAGATTCTGTTTTTGTGAGAAATTTATCTACAGATTTAAAAGCATTCATTCACTATCAGTGGAACAAGATTATACACAAATATCTTTGGTGGTGTCTAAAATCCATTTGATTTGTCTAAACTATATAGAAGATTACTTAAACTTTAGACTATTGAAACAAATCAATTGAAGAAAATTTGACACTAGAATCCCTCGATTTACGTTCACGTAACCCATGCAATATCTAGTTACATTAGGAAACCAAATCTGTATGAATATATAAAAGCCACAAACATGAATGACACCAAATTCTATGACCATGCTTCTGTACTACAGCAGAACATTTATGGCAAAAATAAAACATAGTATAATAGTCCAAGTATTACCTTATTCCAAGCTGCAGATTGAACATGAGCAGTAATTTCACTAGGAAACCAAATCTATATGAATGTATAATGCCACAAGCATGTATGAAACATTTCTACGACCATGTTTCTGAACTATAGCAGAACAATGATGAAAAAAATCGGTAACAAACTATCTTTGTTCCACTCTTATTACCTTATTCCAAGCTGCAGATTGAGCATGAGCTCATAATTTCTATGACCTTTTGATATCGTCTCCCCCTGTCTTTTCATCGCCCGTATTCTAATTGGTATCCCTCTTGCTGTTTCCACATCATCAAGCTGGGGATTCCCCAAACCAACGTCTTCTCTTCCTCCCAGTGAATGTGAACCAATGTCATCGGAACCAACATCAGCATCAGAGCCCCAACTATATGCATCATCATTGCTAAGCCTCCCANCTCTTGCTGTTTCCACATCATCAAGCTGGGGATTCCCCAAACCAACGTCTTCTCTTCCTCCCAGTGAATGTGAACCAATGTCATCAGAACCAACATCAGCATCAGAGCCCCAACTATATGCATCATCATTGCTAAGCCTCCCATCAACTGACATTCTCCTTGGCCTCGCACCACTCCCTTTTGAATTCTTCCATATTGGCTGCTTCTGCAACATCTCCCCTTCAATATTAGTCCAATTAACCATCTTCTGTGAAGGAAATATCGAGATCTTCTCACCAGGACAAACCTTACAATCACTCAAATCAATCAGAAAGACCTCCTGAGGATCCCAATCAAAATGACCCATCTGTGAACTTGAAGGGTAATAAGTCCCACTCTGCTCTCTTGGGTCCTTACTCCAAACACCCACATAAAAACTCCCATCTGGCCATCTATATGTACCATTTCCTTTAGGCAATCCATCCTCCCAACACCCATCATATCTATTCCCATTACCCCAAATCAATGTTCCATTGCCATTCATCTTCCCATTCTTCCATCTCCCAATATACTGATTACCATCATTCCATTGGTACCTCCCTTGTCCATTTTGCAAACCGTGGCGCCATTCGCCTTCATAGTGATCCCCATTGGCATAATTCTTAACCCCTTTCCCATGTTTCATATTCACTACCCAATACCCTCTGTAAGTATCATTGGAAGACCCCGTATAAGTACCTTCACCATCCATATACCCATTCTTGAATTGGCCTTCATAGGTGGCACCAGAAGGCCAGCTGAATTTACCTTTACCATTGGTCTTCCCTCTTTGCCAATCACCAACATACATACAACCATCTGCCCACAAGTATTTTCCATGGCCATTGGGGCAATTATCAGCCCACTGACCTGTGTACCAGTCCCCGTTGTCGAACACCTTCTCGGCATGATAGACTTCGCCAGGAATCGCGTCGCAAACGTCGTCGTCCACATGAGCCACTGACATTGTGGGGAAAATGCTATTAGACCTTTTCTTTGCAACTGCTTGTGATTTACGTACAGTTACTTCCCAGGCCTTCACAATGCCGCCCAGTTCTTTGCTCATTCTCTCTCCCCTTCACACTTTCTCTCTCTAGAAAACCTTCTTTCTCCACCTTCTCTTTCTGGGTTTTCTTCCTTAACCAAGATCAAGCTGTCTCTGTAGCATCAATGTGAAACTCAAGACCAAGCCAACCACCATTTCTGCAACAACCCAGAGACCCAACAATGGGTTCAGAACCAAACACAACCAGCAATGAATCTCTCTATTCACACGCCAAAATGGGCGTGTGTTTCTGTGTTTTTTGGCGAAATGGGTGCTTGAGATTTTCGAAAATAGAAGCTGTTAGATTGATGGAAAAGCAAAAGGTTGGAAAGGAACCACCAATGACTGGCTTTTTTTTTGTTTGAAGATTGTTTTCATTGATGTTCTGTTACTAACTTTTTTGTTCAACTCTTTTTTCTTTGATTGATGTGGTGTGAACCAGAGATTCAACACCCACATTGTTCTCTGTCTCCGGGCTTGGCTCCTAAAACTACTGACAGACCTAACAAATGGAAGGTTGAGAGAGATGGTGGAGGTGGTAATGGTATGGTTTCTTTGCCATTTTTAGTGTCTCAATCAGACCAAATAAGAACCAATAAGAAAAATGTAACGCTATGTCGACTTAAATAGTTGATTTAAAAATTATATTTGATAATTTTAACTATTAATTTTATTATAAATTTCAATATTTATTGGGACTCATTATCTATTCAATAATTGAAATTATCAAATCTAATTTTTAAATCTATTTTTTAAGTCTGTGTACTATTACCATAAGGAAATTGGATTCAAAGGGTGTCCTTTAGAATTTTCTTTCTTTTGCAATGATGCCCTCATATTTTTTTTGAATTTGATTAGAGCCCCTCAATTCTTGGAAAACCTTGCACTTGGCCTTCACATATGATTTCTCTTCCTTTCCTCTTTTCTTTCCTTCTCTTTTTTGTTTTTAACTTTTTCTTTTTCTTTTCTTTTTTTTTTTAATTTTGAATAAATTCAATCCATCTCACATGTGACAATGACATATGTTCATTGACATAAATTCCTTCAAGAAAGAATCGAGAAATTATCAAACTTTGGTCATACAACCTTTTTTTTTAAGTCGAGGAATGCACTTCACTGTAGACAACAGGTGTCCAATGGCATGTCCATGGTTTGATCTTCTTCTTTTTATTCCTTCCACTCTTTTTCTCTCGCCATCGTTCATTTAGACTAATCAATTTCGACGTACACAAATCGAAAAATATTTAAAGTCGTATTAAGTGTAAGCCTATTACGTATAAGCCACTAGTCATTTAGTTTTGATCCATAATGCAAGGTTGATTAATACAGTGAATTGATCATTTTACCTAGAGAAAAAATTAATGTATCAAGGCCAATACTTGTTATGAAGTCCTTTTTAGTGGTAGAAAAACCTAAGATGCTTAGGGTTCATAGGGCATAGGCTAACTTATGCTAATTTCCAAGATGCTTAAAGTTTAAGCTTAATTTATTTTCCCTATTCCACCAACTCTGTAACTTCTAGAATTTCACTGTTAATAGTTAGGTCTTTGAGTATGAGAAAATAGAGATAGAAGGAAAACCTTTAGGGGTATTTTCATATTTTAGAAAAATAAGTAGATAAAAAATTAGACTTAGAACCCAATATTTGAAATTTGTCAAGCATGAAATATATTTAGGATTAAATAATTTTGATTTAATTGGGCTTGAATAATTTATTTATGTTGAATTAAATTGGTTTTATATCTAAGTTTGATCTTAATAAATTTGTGATTTTTTTTCAAACAATGGGATATGATGGGTTAAGCCCAAATAGTCCAATTCATATGTTAAAGTTCAATTCCAGTTGAGGAGCCCAACCTCATTTNGACAACAAAGGGCCCCACACACAATTCCACATACCCCACATATGTATACAATATAGGATTAATTATAAATTGTACCCTGAAAGATCGTTTAAATTTTAATTTGTATTCTCAAAGATAAAAAATTTTAATTTATACCCTTAAATATAGAAATTTGTATCAGTGTACACCCTCAAATATAAAAAATCTCAATTTATACCCTCAAAAATAAAAATTTATATTAATGTGCACCTAAAACTAAATTGATGTTTTGATGTTGTAAAAGTGATCTAGATTTTCTTCAATATATCGTCCCTCAGTTAATTAAATTATTCACTATCAACATTAAGAACCGTACTCTTGATAGTAAAAAGAGTAGTTCAGCCTAAATGGTAATTTAAGTAATAATATGAATAAACTGTAAATTTAAGGTCTCATTTAATAACGTTTATGTTTTTCGTTTTTATTTTGATATTTAGAGAAAACAATAAAAAAAAACTCGTTAATTTAGTTCCTCTAATTTAATTTTATGATGTTAACTTTGAATCGTATTATTATCATTTTTTTTAGATTCATTCAAGTCATATACTTGTCTTGATGTCATGTTTATGTTGATATCTGGAATCTCATAAATTAAATATCCAATCGATCCATATCTCAACAAAATCAAATCAAAAATCCGTTACAACGATTCATATCATGTTAGATCAAGGTATAGGAAAAAATTAGACATGTTCTATGGACAATGTTCGTTAAATGATTTTTTTTTTCTTGTCGATGTATTTTGTAATTAATTTATTATTCATGTTAAATAATTGTATCATTTTTAGGTTGATATTGTATTGGATTTAAGTCATAAAACATATTATATAGAAAATTGTCACCCTTCATAATATTTTTAGTAAATGCTCAAAGGATAGCATTATAATGACAATTGTATTATCATTTTTTAAAACATGTAAAGTTTTCTTTAATATTTTATTTTTTTTGTTTTTTAAATATTTTTATGACCACTAACTACACTCAAACCAAAATACATTAGTCTTTTCTAGTCTATCTCTTACTTTTTCTTTTCTGTATATGAAAAGTTTAAAAGTTATAATATAATAATCTAAAAATTATAATAAAAAAGAAAAGAAAAGGGAATGTTTGTAGTGATTTTTAAATCTTTTCTACTGGATAATCTAGTACCCTTATGTATGAAGATAATAAATTCGGTCATTATGGTCAAACTTTATTATGGATTTCTGACCACATTTTCCATAAGACTCTTTTATCTCTTTCTTCTCCAAACTCAAATTATTGAATAAGGAATGGAGAATAAGGTATTAGCAATAACTGGTTTTATTATGGGACAACTCGTGATATTCATATCGATCTATTTTGCACCTCTGTATCTAGCATTTGGTAGATCTCATATAATAACTGAAACATGGGATAATACTGCAACATCCAAAAACTTTTTCGGTACCATATTTAAAATTATATATTTTAAATGTCAAGTTACATTCTATAAAGGTGAAATTATAACTCCTTGAGGCAATTCATGATCGATCAAAAAATATTGTCATCAATCATGAATTACTTCAATTAGTAGTAATTTTTTTTTCGCAAATTATAACCTTGATGTTTAAGAGTAATAATTAACATTTTAAAAGTGTACCAAAAGCTAAAATCATGGCAGAGTTGTTACCACTCAACATTATAAATACCAAATAATGCTGGAGTCAAAGGTATGCACTTCGAATCCTACAAACTTTTTGGCTTTCTCTCATAAACCTTATTAGCTCAAGTANTGTTTTTTAAATATTTTTATGACCACTAACTACACTCAAACCAAAATACATTAGTCTTTTCTAGTCTATCTCTTACTTTTTCTTTTCTGTATATGAAAAGTTTAAAAGTTATAATATAATAATCTAAAAATTATAATAAAAAAGAAAAGAAAAGGGAATGTTTGTAGTGATTTTTAAATCTTTTCTACTGGATAATCTAGTACCCTTATGTATGAAGATAATAAATTCGGTCATTATGGTCAAACTTTATTATGGATTTCTGACCACATTTTCCATAAGACTCTTTTATCTCTTTCTTCTCCAAACTCAAATTATTGAATAAGGAATGGAGAATAAGGTATTNTGAATAAACTGTAAATTTAAGGTCTCATTTAATAACGTTTATGTTTTTCGTTTTTATTTTGATATTTAGAGAAAACAATAAAAAAAAACTCGTTAATTTAGTTCCTCTAATTTAATTTTATGATGTTAACTTTGAATCGTATTATTATCATTTTTTTTAGATTCATTCAAGTCATATACTTGTCTTGATGTCATGTTTATGTTGATATCTGGAATCTCATAAATTAAATATCCAATCGATCCATATCTCAACAAAATCAAATCAAAAATCCGTTACAACGATTCATATCATGTTAGATCAAGGTATAGGAAAAAATTAGACATGTTCTATGGACAATGTTCGTTAAATGATTTTTTTTTTCTTGTCGATGTATTTTGTAATTAATTTATTATTCATGTTAAATAATTGTATCATTTTTAGGTTGATATTGTATTGGATTTAAGTCATAAAACATATTATATAGAAAATTGTCACCCTTCATAATATTTTTAGTAAATGCTCAAAGGATAGCATTATAATGACAATTGTATTATCATTTTTTAAAACATGTAAAGTTTTCTTTAATATTTTATTTTTTTTGTTTTTTAAATATTTTTATGACCACTAACTACACTCAAACCAAAATACATTAGTCTTTTCTAGTCTATCTCTTACTTTTTCTTTTCTGTATATGAAAAGTTTAAAAGTTATAATATAATAATCTAAAAATTATAATAAAAAAGAAAAGAAAAGGGAATGTTTGTAGTGATTTTTAAATCTTTTCTACTGGATAATCTAGTACCCTTATGTATGAAGATAATAAATTCGGTCATTATGGTCAAACTTTATTATGGATTTCTGACCACATTTTCCATAAGACTCTTTTATCTCTTTCTTCTCCAAACTCAAATTATTGAATAAGGAATGGAGAATAAGGTATTAGCAATAACTGGTTTTATTATGGGACAACTCGTGATATTCATATCGATCTATTTTGCACCTCTGTATCTAGCATTTGGTAGATCTCATATAATAACTGAAACATGGGATAATACTGCAACATCCAAAAACTTTTTCGGTACCATATTTAAAATTATATATTTTAAATGTCAAGTTACATTCTATAAAGGTGAAATTATAACTCCTTGAGGCAATTCATGATCGATCAAAAAATATTGTCATCAATCATGAATTACTTCAATTAGTAGTAATTTTTTTTTCGCAAATTATAACCTTGATGTTTAAGAGTAATAATTAACATTTTAAAAGTGTACCAAAAGCTAAAATCATGGCAGAGTTGTTACCACTCAACATTATAAATACCAAATAATGCTGGAGTCAAAGGTATGCACTTCGAATCCTACAAACTTTTTGGCTTTCTCTCATAAACCTTATTAGCT